ACATATGGGAAAATATGGGAAGTGGTGGGGAAGACAAAACCCAGAAAAGATAGGAAAATGTGGGGAATATTTTTATTTGTGTGTATTCATTTGTGTGTCCCAGGGCCCCTTCATTTATGGCGTTTTTGTCTTTCTCCCAGAGATGTTGACCGGTGCCCGCCTGTGGGTGCCTCGTGGGCGCCGTGTGCGGCGCGGCTGCATATCTTACAGCACGCAGCGTACACCACGGAGCTCACACATACAGCTGCCACCACATAGCTTACACCACAGATTTGACTGCATAACTTGCACCACTTAGCTTGCACCACGCAGCTCTTACCCAGTATTTTGCACCACGCATGCTGCACCCGTAGTTTGCACCACATAGCTTATATCTCACATAGCTTACAGCACACAGTCTTCACCACATGCACCATATATTTTACGGCACCCAGATTGCACCGTATAGTGGAACAGTACGTGGCATAGCTTGCACCACATAGCTTGCACCACATATCTTACACCTCCTAGTTCCCACTACATTTAACGCTACACAGCTTACACCACATAGTCGCACACCCACGTTGCGATAACGTACTGCTTGGGGTCCTCACACACCCACGTTGCACCAACGTACTGCTTGGGATCTGAGGTGGGAAAATCCCCCATAACACCTTTCCTGACGTCTTGTGGGGTATGTGCCCTTGTGTCCTAGGACAGCTTGCTACCATCCCATCTGATCGTGCATGACTCGACATGCCATGGGCTTTCGGCACCGCCTGTCGAAAAAACAGCGAAGGACCCTGTCTGTGTTCTGTCGCCAGCCATGTCGTCGCCGCCAGCCTTGAGCGAGGCAGTTCCGTCCGGCCTCCTTCTCTTGCCCTCCCGCCGCTTGCTGGGTATGCTGGCCGAAGGGCCTGTTCCACCTTCATCTTTCCCCGCCTCCCCATCCCCCCCCGCTTCCCCCCGCTCGCATCGGCCCAATGCCGTTGAAGGAGGCTTCTTGGGCAGACGCAGAGTCCGCGCGCAGAGTGGGCAGAGGGAGACGGGGCAAGGGGAGCGGGGAAGGGGCTGGGCGGAAGGGGCCGGCCGCCCCCTCCCCGCCCCCCCTTGTCGGCGTGCCCACCCGCGAACCCGCCCCAGCGAAACGCGTCGCCCGAAGACACGGCTATGCGGAGGTTACACCTGGACGGCAAGAAGTGCTTCTGCTTCGGCATGGACGACCAGTACCAGCCGAAGGAGTCCTCGTGCTCGCTGTCGCTCCTGCTCGTGTTCCTGCTACTGCGGGCGTCACCGCCACAGTGGCGTCAACAGCGTACTGCAACCGCCACGGCCCACTATCAGCAACACTGCCGTCATCACCGTGCCCGCCGCCGCTTCCACAGCATCCTACCACGGCCCACCCACCATCTCCGCCCACAGGCCTGCCCACTAACAAATCCACCCGACCAGTCCCGGTCGCAGAGGGAGGCGCAAGGAGGAGGAAGGCGGCCGCGATCAAGCGAGAATGCGTATATGTATGTGTATGTCTATATGTGTATATATACACATATAGATATGTATGTGCACACATATCCATGCAAACATGCTCACATGCTCGCGAGCAGGCAGGCACCCGACAGGGCGACCAACAAAGCCACACACAGGGGACGCGAAGAAGAATACGCCCTGGGGCCTTGGACGGAGAGCTGAGCTTCCTCAGGGGGGGGGGGGGGGGGCGCGCGGAAGAGTAAAGCGAATAGAAGAGAATAGCGAATAGCGCTCCCCGCAGGGCGAAGCACGAATGTAGGTGACCTGCGGGGATCCAGACAGCCGCCGTCGTGGTTCGCCCACGCCTCGGGCCCATGGGCTGGTGCGATGTTCTCGACCCCATTCCCGGGGACGAGTGCTTCGACCCAGGTCGTTTCCTTCTCGTCCCTGTGCCCGACCCGAGGCGAGGCGAGGCCCGGGGCCGTGCCGCGAGTGCCGAGCTCGGCCAGATGCAGAAATGCCTGGTCCGCGTCCTCCTCCTGCTCATGCCGTCGGAATGGGTGGAGGGGGGGTTGGCGGAAGAGGAGGAGAGGGAGGAGGAGGGGGAGGAGGAGGAGGAGGAGGAGGAGGAGGAGGAGGAGGAGGAGGTGGAGGAGGGAATGGAGGGGATGGGCAAGCTCCATCGGAAGGTTAGTCGCCCACCCCTCGATTGACATCCCGCCCAGAGCGTCGTCTACCATTTTCTCGATCGGGCCCGCGCCTGGTCCAAGCTGGGCGCGGCGTTGAGGCGCTGGCCGCACGGGACGGCTGGGCAGGGCCCTGCGCCAGCTCGCGAGGGCACACGCTCGCGCCACGAGTGCGCGCGAGCTGATGGGCACATTTTCCACCACCGCTACCGGATGCAGAACGGGGGAGGAGGGAGGATGCGGAGGTCCTCCTCCTCCTCCTCCTCCTCCTCCTCCTCCCTCTCCTCCTCCTCTTATCCTACTCCTCCTCCTCATTCTCCCCTCCTCCTTTCTCTCCCCCCCTCCTCCTCCTCCTACTCCCCCTCCTCCTCCTCCTTCTCCTCCTCCTTCTTCTCCTTCTCCCTCTCCTACCCATGGTAGTGGTGGTGGACATGGGCCCCTCGCAGGCGATTTTTCTCCCCCAATCCCCGAGTTCCGCCCGAGAAACGTTTGGCCGTTCACAAGGGAGGGGGGACTCTAGGATACGCCCCCAGGGGGCTATTTGGACGCACCCCTATCGAGGATGGACGCCCCCCATCGCATACCTCAGGGGTGGGCCCCTGATTTTTCGGTCCAGCCGACATCCCCCCGACGCCGGGGATTTGGGTCGCCCTGTCCCCCGCCGGTCCCGGGGTCCGCGGGCGCGGGGCGGCGAAGCAGGACTGCTTGGGCCCGTCGCGGCTGCCCGCGCAGCCCATCGCCGCGTCTGGAGTGGGCGGGGCCGTGGGCGCGCAGCTGGGCGGCGCCGTCCCACGATCAGCTCAGGCTGCACTTGCTGTCGGAGGCGGAAAGGGTACCGATGCTGCTGTTCTCGCCGCGCTTCCCGCTTCTATGGGCCTCCTGGGCAGCCCTCGTCTCGACGGGGATTCGCCTCGAAATTCTTGTTCTGAGTCAATCAGGAAAGGTCCGGGGAGCAGCGGTATCGGTATTTTCTGGGTTTCCTCATGCGGGGCGGCTGCATTGGTCATCGTCCCGGCCCTGGTGTGTCCTTCGTGCTAGCCTCGCTCGGGTCCTGCCTGATCTGGCCCAGATTGGCTGCTGTCCGGCGGACAAATGCATCTTCGTTCGGTAGCAGATCATGGGAGCCTGGTATAGCCTCTGAATTCCGACTTGAGCGTCGACTAGCGTCGATTAGCGTTTGGGAGTCGATGAGGTAGCGCCCACTTAGCGCCGGCTAGCGTCGATCCAGCGTCGATCTAGCGCTGGTCAGCGTCGATCTAGGGTCGATCAGCGTCGATTCGCCAGAGCCGACAGGATGCGATGGGAGGCTCCCGTGAGTTGCCTCCGAAGCTTTGTGCCCTCACAGCTCTCGATCGTGCCCACGGAGACCTCCCCGGCGATGCCGGCCCGCCCGGGCCCCATCTCTGCCCTTTCGAGCCTCGCCGCTCTGGTCCCCCCTCGCGTCGGGCCTCTTGTCGGCATGCCCCTTCCGCGAGGATTGGGGTCCTCAGGGGCTTGAGGTTACCGGGGATGCGTGCGCACAGGCACTTGTTCGTGTATGGGGTGGGGAGAGGTGTGGGGCGCGTGCGGTTCGCGCTTCGGACACGCTTCGCACGCAACCGCGCGAGTCATGGACGCCATGCTGCAGCAAGGTTGCAAGCTTGCATGCTCCGCCAAGCCGGTTCGGCGCACCCTTGCCTGGTCTGTCCGTCCTTGGCTGCTCGGCCGAGGGGTCTTACGTTTGCACGCTACAGCATTATTCGAGCGGTTTGCTGGACTTTTTCTGGCGTCTGCCCATGCGCCTTGCAGCACGATGCTGCGGCTGGCTGCGACGACGCCTGTCCCCAGGAGATGCCCGTCGCGGCAGAGGGGGCGGAGCTCAGCGAGGACGACAAGAAGCGCGTGCTCTTCTACGAGAACATGGACTGGGCGCGGCTGGAGGCCGCGACCCGCAGCGCAGCAGTGGTGGAGCAAGCGCAGGGGGAGGGTGGTGGGCGGCGGCGGCCCCTGCCTGCGGCTGCTTTGCCTGAGCAGGTCTATCACTCGTCCAGGCGCTTGCTGGCCAGAGCCCGTGCAGCGCCAGGAAAAAGGGTGGAGGGAGGACGAGGAAAAGAAGGACGAGGAGGGAGGAGGGCGAGGGAGGAGGAGGAGAGGGAGGAGGAGGTGGAGGTGGAGGAGGAGGAGGAGGAGGAGGAGGAGGAGGAGGTGGAGGAGGAGGACGACGAAAACCGAGACGGAGTAGTGAGGTGTTGTGCCGCGGGTGTGACCAGGCGCCGTGACCGCAGCGGGGCTATCCCCTAATTATAGCCCGCCTCGTGACCACTTCCTGGGGGGCGGTCTCCGAAGGGCCTCCGGAGGCCTTCGGAGGCCCGGAGATCGGACGTCTCGCGACTGGGGGGCGGTACCTTTTTTGGGGGGGGGCGAGGGTTGCGGGAAAGGGGCCCGGAAGGAGCCCCCCTGGGGCCCCGAAGAGTGTCGGGAGGTGCTCCTCTCTGCGCCCCTCGGAGTGGACCGCCCCCCGTGAGGGAGCGCACGGGGCCGGGGCCGAAGAGGCTCAGCCACGGTGATCCCCGATCCTCCCCATTTCGGGTGGGGGATCGACTACAGAGTCGATGTACCCCAAAACTGATTCCCTCGTCGGATCTACAAAAATGACGTGGACCGCTTGCAGGTCTACAGGACAATCTTCGCATTGTTTCGTAGTTTCGACTTGGCAATCAATTCTGGGGTAAATCAGTTCTGCGCACCTGCCACTGGACTTAGCACAGTTTTTTTCGTCGAGCCCATGAAAACTGCCACGGCTTTTCATAGAGTCGACGAGGGAATCTCCATTCTGGGGTGAATCAGTTCTGTCGTCGAGCCCCTGCTTGATCTTTCCGCCTGGCC